GTATAATTTCTTGCATTTTTATATTTAGCAGGCAACTGTTACACTACTATGAGATGTCTGGGCTCATACACAGTAGATGTAGCAATTATTCATTTCATTCAGGACCACTTCAGTCAAAAGAAGATTTGTATTTCTGTCAGGGATAACTCATATTTGGCAGCACAGCTCTGGCAGGAGGCGGGCAGAGCAGCAGCAGAACAGAACAGGCGTCAGAGACGACACAAAGTGAACCAGATTCAGCATAAAATGATAAGCTGGGCAGGAGGTGGGTTGCAAAGCAGCTTGCAGCTGTGTGGCAAAAGCTTATATAGTATCCTGAAAATCGCACAGGACATTGATCTGCAAACAGAATATGTAGAAGGGTATAGGGCTGTTTGATATAACGATATATATCCGATGACGATATAAAAACATCTATCGTTTGTTTCGTGGTGTCGCAAAATAAACTGTTTACGACAATATTTTTTCATCGTTCTGATGATCACTGTAGCGGCTATATTAATTTTTTAAAGTTCTCTCTTTCTCTTATATGTAATATAACCACACTACTAACGGACAAGCACCTGTTTTTATGCGTTGTCATTAGCAACAACGACGGTAACACCATCGCGTGTCCGCTTGTTTATGTTCCACATAAACCTTTCACAATAAAGCTCAAGATCCTGTTGAGACTTTTCAAAATAAACTGAATCATGTGAAAGAGCAGATTATTTACGGCTGAGTGTAAAAAAGAGCCGCCAGGTGCTAAAAAATAAACCTTAGACCCAAACGTTAGAACAGCACGCCGTGTAATAAATACAAAGAAAACAGCGACCATTACAACTTATGTCTAAAAATGTATAGTTTCATGCATCGGTTAAAACACTCGACTCCGGGTAAAGGACGCGCAGCTGGAAACACTTCACGCAAGTCGAGCTGCCCGAGATTCACAGAATTTACAAAAAATGTTAAATTTTGGTGATTTATATTGTTATCGGGACGATAGATGTCTTATATCGGGATATGAGATTTCGGTCATATCGCACAGCCCTAGAAGGGTATCAGCTTCCCAACCAGCAGTGAGCTGGCAATGAGATCACCTGATCTGCCAAATTAGGGCTTTTTACTTGCGGACTAAATCAATACTCAACTAGACCTGACATGTTAGTGACTATTCACAGATGGCTGGTGGCTGTAAAACAAACCCAAATAACCCCCCCCTCCACCACCGTCCTTGACAGATGGTTTGCAGTGTTCGTGCTGAGATGCTTTCATTGGTTTTTGCCAAATAGGGTGGTGTGCATTATGGCCAGATATCTACAATTTGGTCAAAGGACATTGATCCTGAAGTTCTTTAGTTTGTTCAACTTTTCAAGCCCTTTTCAAAGGCTTTTCAATGTCATAGTCTTTTAAGATAAATCAGGACACCCCTCCAAAATAGGCATAGCTATTCAGTCGTTTTCTAATTATACTGCCATGAACTTTAACATTTAACATGCTAAGTGAGTCTGAGATGTAGCTGTAGGAATTTTAGCTGTTTCACTAAACCAACAGTCCCCACCGGGCTGCGAGAGTTGAGGCTCGGGTGTGAAATTTATGGTTTTAAGGGTTTTTATCGTTAACTCAGTTTCTCTGGGTCTTTTCCCATGTGTTATGAATAAATCGTCTTTTTTATGTACCGGTACTGGTTTTATTTTATTGCATTTATCTGCGACACACCTTAAAGGCCGTTCAGTGACAATATTGTCAGACCTAAATCGGTCCGTGGCTCAAAAAATATTGGGGACCGCTGCTCTAAACGCTGCACGATCTGACCTTGGCGTGAATTTGTTGGGACATCCATTCCTGAGAAGATTATGGTAAATGTTCTGTTTTTATTAAGGTGGTCACACTTGTTAATGATGAGTGAATCAAATGCATTCCTTTACCAGCACCTGGCTGCTACTCACTCTCTTAACTCCCACAGAAGCAGAAGGAGTGTGCTGCATGGAGTCCTTGAAAACGTTCTTTTTCATGAATTATAGGCATTGGAGATCTATTCAGCCCATTTCTAAAATAACTAATCATTTCTAGAGCAGCATTCGGGGCCACATCTGTTTCATGTAACCTCTGTCTTCCCTGAAAACACTACAGCAAAGTGTTTTACGACCTTTGTGTATCGATTCCACCTCCTTCCCCAGATCCAGGAGCACAGTGTGAGTTTGGTTCTTGAAGACTGTTTCTCTGTTCGCCTTAAGACTGAAGTCACTGTTAAACCTCGAGATCTCTTGAAGGAAGTTTTCCTCCTCTTCTTTAGCCACCATCTTTATCTTGGTCTGGTATGAAAAGGAGGATCATGGGAAATACTTCGAACAACAATATTAACAGACCTTGTGGTACTACAGACTTAATATTACTCTATAATTATGATAACATTTGGAAAAAAAGAAAATCTTTGCTCTAAGAGCTTATTGTGTTGAATGCAGAATCCCACCATTTTTGGTGGGATTCTGCATGAGGCTCTGATTTTACATTATTTTTTACATAACCTAGTTCAATACCTCTGGAATTTTAAACAAGCAATTCTAAAATGTCAAACTCAGTTTCTACAAAAATGCAAACACCACTTTTTTGATCTGTGCATTCACTGATTAATTGACCGGGTCATTCT